CCGCCGCCGCCGCCGCCGCCGTGCTACGTCAGAAGTGTTGCTTGTGAGCAGAGATGCGACGAGCCCAGACGCCTTAGGCTCCCGGGCTCAAGCAATTTTCATTCGATGGCGCGTGTTGTCATCTTTGCCCAGGCAGGTCTGCGAGCTCTGCAAGTTTAAGCTGAAGTCTAAGCCGCCATTTTTGATAGCGATCCACCAGGACGACCATGCTGCTGCAGAGTGCCTCGTGCTGTTGCCTTACCTGCAAACCACATCACTGATGCCAGACAAGAAGCGTTCGCAGGCTTTTGCATGGTAGGCGGCCGAAATTGGATCATCCATACTTTGCAGTATTTTGTGAGGTATCACGTCCAATCGGCATGAGGTGAACCTAGAATGATCACAAATCTGCTTCAGTGGGATAACGGGCTTCCGGAGATCCTTCGAAGGTTCACAACCACAAACATTGTTGCAGCATGCTGAGGGTTACTGTAAGCTACTAGCCGAATGATAGACATAGAAGCGGGCAATGGTTGCATGGGCCCAGGACAAAAATGCAGGAGTTCCAGAAAGGGGGTAGCACTGGTACAGCTCCATCCCCCAAGAAAACCTCCCCTGTGAGTCTATTCTCCTGCACTCAGCCCAGCTCATGCCAAGGCCTCTGAGCACTGGCCACCGAGTCCTCGGTACCTTGCTTGGGGTGTCAACCGAAAATAGCCCAAGCAGATGCAGCATGCTCTTAGCCGAGGTGTAGGCTGTGGTGCAAGCACCTCCATTTTTGCCAGGCCAACTGCTCTTGGGCGCGGCGGGTCTTGTTTCGTATTTTTTTTTCACATTTTGCTGGCTTTTGGGTGCATAGGCGACCAAGTGGTAGCCAGTTGGTCGGTGGGTTGGTGTCGGTGGACATGTAGGTTTGTTAAATGACAAAGTCTTCTCCAATGTCCCACGCCGTATGCCGCATGTTGCGAATACACTGGATGAACACCTTCGGATGTTTGGTTCAAGACTGGATGTGGTCAGTGCTTGGGTCCACATAGGATGGACAAACTGACAGGCCGACCGACTGCGCTTGGAAATCCAAAGATGCAAAAATCAAAAGTTGCAAACCCTACCAACCTTGCCTTGCTATCAATGAATCACATGCTCACAGTCACGCGCACTTGATCAATGCTTTGTGCACTCAAGCAGTCACAACATCCAATCTTGAGCCAGACATCTGCGGGTTTTCATTCAGAGTATGCTGAGCGTGGGACATTGGAGAGGGCAGTGTCGTCCCACACGAATCAGAGCTGCAGCCATAATTCGCAATGATCACTTGTCAAATCCAGACCATCGAGCACGTCGCAATGAACGGGCACCTCACTCCGCTGAGTCCTCTATTTGTTGTTGTACTGAATCTTATCGCTCCGGTAGTTCGGTCACAGGCAATTCATTGACTCTGATTCAATATCAGAGAAATCATTCTAAGCATTGAGAGAACGCACTCTGCCATTGATACCAGAACTTTCTGCATTCCGTCAAAAAACTGAATTGCAGTCTGCACTAAGGCAGTCTCCGTTTGCAGATTGAGTTTCAACAGAGACATTGATCAGTGAATCCTTTATGAGGCAACGCCATGGCATTCCACAACCTGTTTGAATGTTGGTAGCACTCAATATGGTTCTCCTTGGCAAGTGACTTTCAGTCACGACGAAGGAGAAATCACAACTTTCATTTCACTGCTGGCCTTGGCCATTACAGAGTTTTTGGAGGGCATCAGTCAGCCTTCAACATTTGCGGCTCGTGCGAGGCGAGGAAAGAATGGCTTTCCACGGTCCAATAGTGCTACGCCAGTCATAACACGGGCTTTCCTAGTGAAACCCCTTCGACTCATCAAATATGACCGCTCCGCAACACACCAGCAAGCGGTATCAACAAAGCCTTTTCCGCGAGTTACACGGGACATACCCCGCAAACTCACCCGCTGCTCCTCAACAGCCAATTCACATCTACACGGCTGGCCCTTGCATACTATGAGAATGCCACGGTCGTACAAGCTCATGGCCCAGTAAAGGTCAGGGGTCACTAGTAGTGCTTCACACCTCTAGCGCATGTGACAAAGCAATCATGCATCACGACTGTAAGCGGGCAGCAAGTATGTTAAATGGTACAGCAGTGTACAGCACGTCCCGAGCGTGACAAAAAATGGGACATGCAACTTGGCTACTCCTCCATACTGTGCAGAGCACGGTTTCCATAAACTGGAAATCAAAGGACTGGTGAACACGGAAACAAAGCGGTGGATGCATTAGCGGAACAGGGCAAAATTCACGCCAAATCTGAAGGGACAGGTATGCCCAGCCTCCCAAGCTACTTCGCAATCTCATAGAGGGACCGCCAACACAGGCTGACTCCAGATGCAAGCAATCTTGATGGCTGCCAAGTACGCGGAAACCCTCACACCCCCAGGCACCCACAGATATCGCAAGACGTGCAAGAACTGCGCCAAACCCTCAAAGTCAGAGGAGGACCCTACCTACAAACGTGCCAAAGTAGTTAAGCCTCAGGCACGACACGAAAAGCGGGATTGGACCCGCAACCAAATCGGATCAACGTACGAGCTTGCACGGCAACTTTGGCGCCATGCGCGCAATCTAAAGAAGGGCTTTCAGCAATGCAAGCATAGCTTGGCGGTCAATGGCAAATTCCTACTGCCTTCGACGAACATCTCTCCCAGACCCAGTGGGGCCACAGCCAGGTCACTCAAGAAGAAAGAGATTCCTCGCCCAGACTACTCATTCTTTCGCCGCTCGACACAGACATCCTTCCGATGGAAGAACTGCAGTCTGCGATCGCCAAAAAAAAGCCGGGTTAAGCTTCAGGCCCAGACAGCCCGATTATCATGGGGAAAAGCAAGTACTGGACCTATATCATAGATGCTGGGTCACTAAAACGGATTGGAAGGACGCAATCGGGGTGTCTTTTTTTAAAGGAAAGGGTGACTACGCTGATGCCTCAAAGGCTCCATTGCGCTATTGAATATGACGTACAAAATATATGTCGCGATGCTACAAGAACGACTCTCCCAGAATTATGATGTCAGGCGTTGGCGCATGCTGCATGTCTTTCAGAAGGTAAGAAAGAGGCTCGTCTCAGCTGTTGTTCATTCTTAGACACCTACAGGAGGACTCATCGCGGACAGGTATTCCATTTCAGTGTTGGTTCATAGATTGGAAACAGACGTTCGATGACCTTGATCACGACTCCATGTTGACAGTATTGCGAAGATCAAGGGTCTATCCAGCAGTAATGAACGACATCAACAGTAATCCAACATTTCACACGGTCAGCATCAAGGGCAACGAATGCCAGGCTAGTCTCACATGGGCATTCGACAGTGATGCCCTTTTAGCCCATACTTATTCATAGTGACCTTATCAATCATGTCAGCAGACGTAGGTGAGCCCAAATACTTGACTGATTCTGCTGCTGGGACCGGGTCACCATTGGCGAATTGTAGCACGGAGTTTTCAAGTTTGGGGTGCTTGAGAGGTTGCGTCCCAGTGAGGTTGAGAAGTAGCCCGTATAATGAAGCCTCGACCTATAACTGCTTGAGGTATTCTTCTACCACCTTCGTGCTAATTACAAACAACAACGTATCATGGCTTGAAACAATACCTCGGTCATTCCTCAACTTTCCTTGCCCGGCTGGTGGCAGCACCTACCCACCACCCTTTTAAGTCTTCCATTTTCTCGACCGGCATTGCAAGCGCATGGCTGTGGTAGAAATCCTGGACAACCATATGCACCCCAACCTCAAACCGACACTTCAGTTCACATGCACGCTTGGTTGTGGTGCTATCTGCCCCCTTGATGGTCCGCCTGTGGCCGTCACTTGGAGGCTATTTTTGAGCATGGTTCACCTCCGGCGGTCACACAGGGGGCAATGGCACAGCAGAGCTCATTGACCGTGTGGGTGTCTGGCTCAAATACTAGACCACAAATTGCGCACCAAAGCTTTTAAAAACACCAAAACTTTCTGAAACAGCCGAAACTTTTAACCTTTGACAGTTCCAAGACCATCCCAGATCCCAGGGATCTTGTGGGGGGTTCGTCTGCTGGTAACTGTCTTCATTTGAATGCCTTGTTGCAGGATGCCAACAGCAAACAAAGTGCAAACATACCCCCAGCAGCAAGGCTGAAAAACTCGAAGCCAATGTAAGCTGCTTGTCGTGAAGAGACAGGCGCTGCGTTGAGCTGGGCTTCGGCTTCGCGAGCGCACTGGAGCAAGAGGTGGTTGCAGGTGCCTTGGAGCGCTTCAAGCCAGATGTCACAGCGTGGGCCTTACAGCACGCTCCGCTACATCTGCTTTCATACGTGATGTTCCCTCATCAGGTGCTAGTGCCCGATCTCCATGGCCAACTTCCCAAGTCGTTTTCTTCTGGTGGCGGTCGTCAATACGTAGTGAAGGCGATGTGAGAAGCTTGCCGATGTTCACATGTTGAATTGGTCGGAGAACGCTGCAGGTTGGCTTTGCAATGAAAGGAGCGCCTTGGCCTGCCGGGACCCCAGGCAGATGCAGAAGCAACGCTTGCAGGATGCCAATTTGGGACACGTTTCTTAGTTGCAAATTTTGGCATGCACAGCGTTACTTGAGGAATTTGCGCCAATCTGGCTGCAGGCAATGGGCTGTTTAATGTTTCCATAAGTTCAGAGCCAAACTGTGACAAACGTCTTGTGATGGCAGGCCAGCAGCCGAGTCGCCATCTGCAAGGCCTCTGGACAGGAGGCATTGTCAGGGTATGGTATCCATGGAGTTCAGGGAGTTGACTTGATGCTCAGAGATCTACAACAACAAATGCCTCGCCTCGTCCCAGATCATCAACTGCAGGTGGGTGCCGAGTCTGTGGTGGTTGGGAAGGATGAGACGGCTTTGTCGCTTCGTAACTTGCTCAGCTGTTGCAGATACCGCTGTCGCAGACAGATTCATGTTGCCAAAGCCACATGCGGAGGTGCAAAGCACGCTTTGACTGCGGCGAAGCTTCTCAAAATCCTTCTTGAGGAGGGTGAAGGCTGGGGCGGGAGTTCACAGGCAGGCCAGGAAGACCCTTGCTATTCGCGAATGCAGTGTCACACCCCAGCAAAAAGATTCACAAGGTACCGGTTTCAGAACTTATTGCATGCAAGTAATGAGACGACGTGGCGGCAGTTTTTTCCATTCGGTGGCTACACAGCTGTCCCCAGCGTGCGAAAGGGGCCTTGTGTTGCTCAGAACGGCTCCTTTGAGGTGCACTCCCAAAACTTGAGTCAGCGCCAACTGTCAGCAAGGAGGTGCAGAGCCAACGACAGATTTTGGGAAGCATTTTGGACTTTGCTTGCTGTGCAGGCACCAACACAAATAGATCTGGCTTGGGATGAGGCAGCATCGTCGGTGTCTTGGATGCAGCACGTATGCGTTCGGGCAAATTGTGTGAGGATTCTGTGGATCGTTTCATCCGAGCGTACCTCTTTCCTCCGCACGACCCAGCAGTCGCCGCCTCTGCGCTGTGTCTGCTGTTCTGCGAAGAGGATCAGCTGGGTGAACCGGAATACGTGACATTACGTCATGACCTTTCAGAGTGTTCATGTATACTGGTATACTTGATATCTCTTGCATTGTCACACCCCCTGAGGTTGTCGAGGTGCCCGCCAAAAAAGACACCTACTTTATTGAGAACATGGAGCTGCTTCGCTTGCAAAGCTAGATATGTGCATTGCAGAGAGGCCATCTTCAGATGCTGACGTCTTCACATATTTGGGACGTGCGTCTAAGGCAGTTCAATGACTTTCGCATGAAGGTTCCAAGGGGATGCATCAAAACCCAGCTGCTCTGAGCATCAGATGCGGTTGACAACACGGCCGTTTTGGCCTGTTGGCATGACAGGTTCTCGAAGAAGGTGTACGGGATGGACACCTTTCAAATCGAAGTTACGCAGCGGACACGTTAAAGCCCTAGCTGGTCCGGTCAGATTAGCACTCCACTGTCTTTTGAGACATCGTGAAGACCGGCTTGGCAACCTGAGGCATTGGTATTCCAACGTTGGTGGAAGCATTGTGAAGATGGGTGATTCCGACATACACATGCCGCTGAAGACATCCGACAAGAAACACAAGGTCCGAAGCCTGGCATACATTGGTTGTGCTGTTTTGATGCAAATCAGACATCCTAAACCCCTGTCCAGACAGACTGCACAATAGGTTTGATCTGCCGGTCCTGAGTTCGTTTGCTGTGAACCTCTGATGGAACTGCCATGGTCAGCTTCAACGTCAATGTTCCAGACCACAAGACTCCACAAGACTGCTTGCTTGGGTGCCTGGCTGGTTTGAACTCTGCAACCACTGCAGCTTCTGCACGGCTTACAAAATCCCAAGCTCTTGAACCAGACTGCTGGTATCGCATGCTTTGGCATCCATGTATGCATGGATTTGCACAGTTGCCTGCCGTGTCTTTGCATCGGTCATCATACACTTGGATTAGGCGTTCGATGTCAGCCTTGTAGCAGACCAGCTTTGGGCATTTTTATGCGACGTCGCCATCCGGGTAATGGTGTTTAGGTTTTCAAGATGTCTGTTTCCATTGCCGGGTGTAAACCGCGGAACCAGCGTGGTAGCGAAAATGAGTTTTCTTTCCATGCAAAGGTTTTGGCTTGAATCTGGGCGACAGATTGCAGAAAGCCTTGCGCCTGAGTTTCAAGGCGAACCCAAAATCTGGCCAGAATGGTGCCCGGCTTTGTTTTCCTTGGAATTTGCCTTGCCACGTTGTGGAGATGGTCCCACACGTCACTTTCCTTGCTTGCAGAAACGTGGCTGTAAGTTCTTGAACATGTCAAATCAGAGGCGGCATGTCATATGCTTTGGTCATTGATCCTTTGGGTTTTAGACACTTTGCAGGGATCTACCAGTTGAATTCAGGTGTTTCGCAGCACAGTGAACATGAGGGCTTGCAAGTGACACCCTCTGCCTTAGGTAGCTGGTGCTAGCGTTTGCGTTGCAGGGAGTCTTGATAATTACTGATCTACATCTCATTTTCAGTGAGCCTCGTTTGCAAGACGGAGGCAGACAGGGACCAGCTATGCATTCCTGCAATGGCGACGCCGGAGACCAGGTTTTAGTTGTGAACGGAAGGAGTACGCTGACCTGGAAGGAAGGACAGGCAGAAGCAACAGAGGCAGTAGCCTCGACTGCCGGTGCCGGGATCAGCAACACAGACCAACTGGTAGTCTACAAGTCGAAATCTCCAAGCGACACGAGAGAACCTCCTGACCATAAACCAAGATTGACAAATATAATACGTTTTGTGTATTTTTTTGTTTTGTTTTTGCGGCCGTTCTTCTCTATAGTACTAGATGTGCGTAGTAGTCCTACCACCCTTCATCATCACTTCCACTATTCGTTGGTTGTGGTGGATTTTGCAATCCCCATTCCTGTGAGGATGGTATTTGTAGTATCAGGAGCAGTGGCGGGCAGAAGACAAGGCCATCTTGCATGTTCAGGTACCTGCTTTCATTTTCAGGTCCCCAGTTTTGGCCTCTGTTACCCGTAGTCAATTGTGGCCCGTGTGCTTCCTCGCACCATCCAGGCACAGTTCCCAGCCGCCTTCGCCGAAGCATGTGACGCTCTCATACGGATGGTGCTGCTCGTACTTGGTCTAGCGTGGACGCGACGGCCACCTGTCCCAAAATTGCCTCCATACTGCCTCCCGGGTCAGGGCGGGGACGGGTGCAAAGGGGTCCATGGATTGTAAAGTTCCAGAGGCCGCCCAGGCGAGCCGATGTAGTACAACGTGGGGAGCCTACACCGTGAAGGAGGGCTATGGCACCGCATCGGCTACATCTGGCCGGGGTGAATGTGTGAGCCACTTGAAAGTCTGGCTCCGCAAGTACCTCCTCGGGCACACGTGGACAAGTATCTGTATCTATCGCAATAATCCGGTTCCACCGCATGCTGATGTGGGTCGTTGTCGGGAGTCTGAGCCATTCGATCTCTTTAGGAGACTTTGTGCCAGGCTCCTTTGGGTTGATTGTTCTGGCAGAGATGAGGTCAGAACGAGCGTGACCAGACCCGGGAGTTGCGCGAAGCGGTGGTTGAGACCCGCGAGTGATTCTTTACCTTTGATGCTTGGGCCTGACGCCCGGTTGATGACTGGGAAGGCAATCGGTGGTCTGTCACGGCCTACAGGTGCCATTGTTTGGGTGAGATGACAGATGAACCGATACGGTGCCTTCAGGATTTTGGGTTTCCGCTGCCGGAGTTGTGCTTGAACTTTTCCATCTGCCGGGCCGGGGGACCGTCTTTGGACCTGCTCTCCACGAATCCAACGGAAACGCTTGGCTGAGCTACTGCTCTCCCTTCAGTTGGATGCCCCGTATCAGTGGTGTAGCGTCCGCAGAGGCGGCGCTACTCACTTGTTGCGCCAAAGTGGCAACTTGGACCAGGTCTGCCTCCTTGGGCGCTGGAATTCCCAGAAGACAGCATAAATCTACCTTTGCGAAGGCATCGCTCAACTCTCCGAGCTCCAGTTAGTCCCCAATCAGCTTAAGCAACTTCGAGCATTGGCTCGCATGGCGCGCTTCTCGTGGACAACGCACTTTTGAGTACTGTCCCACATCCCTTTCCTTTTCGCTTGAGCGGCTACAGTGGTTTGGGCCAAGGCCCCATAACTAGGAAGGGTGGAACGGAGACTGGCCAGGTTTGTTGTCTGCTATGGGGCAGTTGGGGGGATCCTGGTCAGGATGGGCACCGATGTCCCGCTGGCCCATGCCTTGTGTCTTGCCCCTGTTGGGGGCAGGGTGGTGCCTTCTGTCGCCCTCTGGGATGTGAGACTGACAAGGTCCGGTGCCCTCTGTGTCCTCCAGCTGTCGCTTGGTTTCCATGCCAATCGCTTCCTAGCGCAGCTAGTGCTGAAAAAAGTACGAGCGTGCCTGCAGGAGCTCTAGTACCAGTAGCATCAGTAGAATTCATTAGCTTTTGGTATTGAATTCCATTGTTCTTCATTGCCACCTCCTGATGCTTGCTGATAGACCTTGTCCTAGGTTTCGGGGTTGTGAATATGTGAATTTGTCAGCAAGAAATTGTAGACTTACGGACGATGTTGGGCCCAATGATTATTTTCTGTCACGCCCAGTGTAAAGTCAGTGCCACATCACTGTACCAAAGTTTTGAGTGGCTCCTCTTGGACGATGATAGCAGATAGCAGAGTCTGATTCTCGGGACGTGCGCCGGAAATTATTTCGGGATGTGTATGCGTCTCTGGAGGAACAGTATGAAAGGCAAGACTATGCATAGGCTGCTCTACGTCTTACAGTACGAGGCTAACTTCAGGGGACTTAGGCTGAACTTCGACTACTGTTAGCTTCCTTACTTCAATGAGCAGTCACTTGCACATGACCATACGTTGCATATGTCACAAACTGTCGCACAGATCACAGATCCATCTCTCGCCTCTTGTATGGCTGAGAAACGCAAATCTTCATTGCCACACAGCTCCCTAAACTTCATTCTCTACCTCGCAAGGCTTGCTAGCAAGCTTCGAACATCAACTCATCCTTCTTTCGCAGGGTATTGGAGCCCTCCGAATCTGGTGCAAACTGCTTTGGAGCACGCTGCGGCAATCATGGCTCGGGCGCGGAGAACCATCTCGATTCCACGTATTTCTTGTCGTGGCGCATATTCAGACATGATGATCGACTTGAGCATGTCGGTGTTTTTCCAGCCTTCGTGCAGTAGATGCCGACATGCTAGGAGACCTGGCAAGCCCAGGATCCATTGGCCACAGCTTACGAGTGCAGAAGCTCAGTAAAAACAAAAACCCTCGACCGCACGCGCTAGATCACCTTATTTGACAGCATGCGCGACATAACGCCAAATTGTTAGAGACGCACTCTCTTGTGTTTGGCAACGCTACAGTCTGGCGGAGCACACTCCACCCACCAGCACGGAACTAACGGCAATGGACCTCCCTCGTTTCTTTCAGCTGACGGAATAGGGCTGCTGACAACCAATCTCCTATCTGTGGAAGCACTTTTAGAGAGAGAGAGAGAGATTAGTCGGATCCTGCTCATAGGCCATCGTAGTCCAGAGTATTGGGCCTTGTCTCAAATAGTCCAAACCTGTGGTTGCAGGCCATCATCCCTGGTGCTGCCATTGGGGCGCGAAAAAAGCTGCGAATGAACGAGCCCCTCATCGGGTGGGGGCTTTGCTTAGGATCATGAGTTGGGCAGTCAAAAGCTGCAGAGAGTGCTACAGATGCCTACATTTGCGCGCTCGGAGGCCGAATGCTGAGCGCTACTGTAGCGGGGCGTTGGCCTCTGGTTGGATCGGCCCTGGCCTTACAGAAGTGCAGCTCCTTACAGGCATGTGGCTTCTTTGCGTTCCCGCAAAGCTGCTGACCATAGTTAAGTTCTTGGTGGCTCCCCCTCTTATATTAATACTCTAGCCCAGGGCGCATTATTCCAGGGGAGCCAGATGCCAGACGGAAATGAAAATCTAATTCACATCTATTGAATTGAAATCTCAGTTAAAATCAATTGAAATCCGACTGGATGCCAAGTAAAACCAATAGAAATCTAAGTAAAATCCATTGACCTGTGAGTGGGTTCCAAGTAAGATCAACAGAAATCTCGTTAAGGAATAAGCCACACAACTCTGTGCAATCCTGGCGTTGGTAACCTATAAGACCGCCTGACAGCCAAGTTGTTTCCTGTCCGTGAAATTCTTGTTGTGACCGCTTCTGCAGCCATTCAAAAGCCTCTTACTTGAATTGCACGTCACTTGCCTAACCATAACATTCATGATTTGTTGCGTGATCGTTGGTTGCCAAAGCCACATGGTGTGACATTGATGTATGCGTAAGCAAAGTACCTTCCAGTCACATCAACGCTGCTATTTGCGAAGAGCTGGCGGAATTTCTGTCATCTTGCAGCTTGTGAGCACGCTCCATGGCAGTGTGTCAGCAAAGCGGTGGCCCGGCCTGAAATTATGATTCGACAAACTCCTCTTTGCGGTCTTGCGCACTTCAGCCCAAAGAGAGAGGGGAGAGGCGCTGCAGTGCCAGGTCTTGCTGCCTGTGCCTCTGCGTGGGCCTCGCGTGGGTTGGGAGGCTTGGCGTCCCCTCAACTTTGTATTTGTTGTCACAGGAATGCAGGCATTGTGGTTGGCAGACCTAAAATGTGAATATGAGATGCCTCATACAACATGCAGGCTTCCTTGCTGTTCGCGCAGGCGGGGTGCTCTTTTGTTGTTAGTGGCAGCCTTTCCTGTTCAGAAGCTAGAGGCCGGATGTGTGTTGAAGTCATGGCTGGTAACGGCTTAGGAAATGACCAGGCCCGTTCAGCATGATTTCCGTGCCTTGATATGCCTTGATCGTGAACTAGCTAGTGTGTAGTCCAGGTGATGAACCAGCCTGAAATTCCTGAAAGTGTAAGCGTCCCCATGTCGTCAAACACAATGAATTTGTCCAGGACGTCAGCCATTCGCTGCGTTGAACCAGCCGCGGCCGCAATCCCTCTCAGAGTTTCAGGCTGCTCTCAGCCGACTGGTGAAGCTGCATAGATCTGGATCGTGACGGTCATTTTCATGGGCCGATTGCAATGCCAGCTCCCAGCAATTCTTTTGGAAACTGACGCTCATAGCTGGTTGGCGTTGCAGATCTATCGTTGTCTGCCAGGTAGACTTCGAGTCTCCTGTTGGCAGGGGAGCATGTTCTGTGGTTTTCGCTCGGGGCTCAGACGTCACCATCGCTTTAATTGTGGAGTGGCTGTGTGTCGTGACCATGTCTTGCGGGACATGGGAGAGCTTGGCAGGGCCCGGACACACTCGGTGACGTGTCAGGTCCATGATACTGAATTTGGATGCCAGATGTCGGGTGTCTTGACGTCAAGATCTGCTGGTGATTGCCTGCATGCCCTGTCAATGTTCAGCCTGGCTTTTCTGTGACTCTGCAGTTCAGACTACATTTTTGAAATCTCTTTCTTTGAGTCAACCTCCTGGCCTCACTATTCTGACAGCACTCATCATCAATGTCAGCTTGTACTGCTGCTGTTGCGCATGTTGTTGATAACGTAGTGAGCGCTGTCATGAAAATCAATTTGATAACTCTTGTCATTTTTTGTCACCTCAATTGTGAACGCTAGCGCTTCTGGGCGCTATGAGGCCGGGGTATGGTTCTTTGTGTTGTTCATGACGGAGGAAAGGGCGAAATGCAATGATTTGTAAAACTCTGACCTCCAATCTATGAAACGGCCATTTAGCTTACCAGGGCATCGGCGGACCCCTTGTTGTTGAGAAGAATGCAGGCTTACCTTGGAGCTAAACGCCCCCACTAAGAGGGCTTGAAGGAAGCTATGATTTAGATCCAGGATGCGAGGCATGAAGCCAGATTGTTGGAACGGTCGTGAGGCATTTTGGTTATAACCATGGCTTCAAATCTCATCTCCAGGATCCAGTTTGGAGCGTAAGGTGCAAGCTAAGCTGTCCAGAGCGGTGCTAGATCACTATCGGCAGTTGTCTGAAGGCCGAGGTGTGGTGTGTGACAGTTCTAGCTGTAAGGGCCATGCCTTTGTATGAAAGATCGAGCGGGGGTTGCAGTTGCTCAGCGCTTTCTGCGCAGTATCCACTGATGGTACCATTCTATGTTGCGTTCGTTGGACATGAACACGCAAATGGCAAGAATAAAGAGAGAAGATGGCTCTGATGTTCTGAATCGGAGGAAAGGCCGATCACTGGAATAGCAGCTCGTCGCTACCACATCACCAATCGAATGAAGCGCATTTGCTTGCATACCTAACTCACAACTCCCCTTGATGTTTAGGCCCTGCTGTGTTTGCTTTTTTTCCATGTGCCGTCATGGCGAATGGGCTGTAGCTTGTGCCTCTAAGTTCCCGCTGTGTGCGCCCTCCCCTTCAACTATGGTTTAGTCTTCTTCGATTCCATAAAGCTTGCGGTAGTTGCCGCCTAGTCAGTATGTTCTCAGTTGCGCGGCATCGGTGCTTTCGCCATTCACTATCATGCCTTGCTCTGATGCATGTCCTGGCACGATCTACTGATTTCCTCTTGAATTCTCACGCTGTGGTTGCGTTGTTCGCGGCTTTGTGGGGTCTTCTTACATGGCTAAACACTTCGTTGTCTCCTCCTCCGCCTGTGTTTTGAAGTTCGAGGAAGGTCTAACATGAGTTTTGCTCTGAACTCCGACGTTGGTTCTTCGCTTCTGTGGCGGCTCACTCCTGGGCTGTGGGATCGTGACGTGTCCTAAGCTTGGTCTCGGAGTTCTACTGAGTTTTTTTTGGTGGTTCCGTTCATGTTAGCGTGCTGCGGGCTCACTTTCATCCTTGGCGACTTGCCTAGGGTTCACTAGATATGCAGGAAGGTTTCAGGCTGGCAAGTTATGTTTCAAATCGCTGCATTGCACAATGTGCTTTCGATGCTGGTTGTTTCAGACATCCCCGCTGGCATTTTCAGCTTTGCTTGCACTTTGCAAGCATGCGGGCTTGCCATGTCGGACTTCTTAACTTCTATCGCTCCGGTGATCATATTTGGTTTGAGGCAGCGGTGCAGCGAGGACAGCTGTGTGAAATTTCCTGTTTTGCCATGACCTTGGAAACGCTTCTTCCGCACTTAGTGGTGGTGTGTGAGAACCAATTGCAAGGGCTAGAGGAGAAGGCGGTGACTACCAAATTTCGTTCGACTTTGATACGGCCGGAGCTAGCCGAAGAACCAGCAGGCAAATCCTTCGTCTTGAGGCTGACATGGCTCTGGAAAACAGTTTCCCCAGTTTGAAAACGATTTCCGCCTTGCCTTCAATGTGGAGAGCATAAATTGCCGGAATTTTGCAGCCTGCTGCGCTCCCAGAAAAAGTGGGTAGCATTTGCGGAGAAATCCCGTAAGCTCGAACAGCCCGAAGTGCTGACTTGTCGGGCCACCCCCAAAAAGCGCGGAACCTCAGGAAAACTCACTCATGACCCATGCAAACTGGCTAAAGAACAGTACAAGCAGTAGCGAGAGGCACGACAACAATAGAATCTTGGCAACAAAATTTGTCACAGTAGCAACTGTGACAAGGATGTGGCAAATACTCATGCGTTAGCTTTATGTTTCAAGCCCACCACCAAGCCCAGGCAACTAATGTTGGGAGTCCGGCAAAAGTTCTGATCAGCACTGCTGCCAGCTGAATTATACTGCTAGTTTCTAGCTACAGTAGCAACCTACGAAAGGCTTGGTTGGCAAGGAAAGAGCCCAATATCCACTGCGCTCCCAAAGCAAAACTCTACATAGCTCAAACCGCCTCACAAGCTCAGACGAAATCCCTTCCTAAACCGTTCTTCACTTCTGAAACCAAATCGAGCCAAGCCAACCAATGCCAAGAACTTTCCTCAATCTTGTCATGAAGGCAGCACGCTTTTTGCATAGTGCAACAGTATGCCACAATTAGGTGAAGTAACACAACGATATGGTAACAACGTTGCAACAACAATTTTGGCAGCATTTTTGGTGAACTTCAGGATTGATTATGATTTAGCAGTTATTCTGCTCCACATGTGTCTCTTGTTTCCTGGACAAGACATCTTACATCAAAGCAAGCCGTACCACAACCTCCAAACTCCAGCTAGGTCTTTTTACGTGCGCCCCTCTCGTCAATGTGCTGCGAGTGTGGGAGATTGCCTGCTAGTCCCACCAACTTCTAGCCAAACTCCAAGGAATCTTATGAACTTTCACATGTTCTTTACTCCGTCCCTTTGCACATGTCGGTTCTGCACTGTGGCAAATATTCTTACTCTCGTTAATGTCTTGCCCCCACCCCGGGCTTTCATCAGAGGCCGGCTAATCCCCAAAACCTGCAGGGTTTGCATGTTGGATGCTGTGCCCCCTAATGCTCCTGCTATTTTGAAAACTTGCACGATTCCAAGCATGCAACGTTTTGCACTTTCATGTTGTAATGCGCGGCATTTGGACGGTTGCGGGGAAGTGCCAGTGTTTGGGGCCCTGTGACGCAGTGGTTTGCAGGATTTGGATTTTGGACTGCGCAGGAGGCTGCCCATGCTGGACTTCGCAGTATGCAGAAGAATTGAGAAATTGCACGAGCAACAATTGTGACCGGAATTTAGCTGCTAAGGCTACAGTCTGCAGTATTTGGAGCATTCAAGAATCAAAGCAGCCCTCATAATGGAATCACCCTGAGCCTTCAAGGTTTCGAGGTTCAAGCTCTGAGGTTTCGACCGTTTCATCATTTTCAGTGAAGCCATTCTCATGCGGGATCTCAAATTTTCCAACTTGTCTACTGTCCGCTCCGTACCTCGAGCCCATTGAGGAGGAAAGAAAGAGGACA